ATTATTTGCAGATGATGCGATACCCTGCCTAGAAGACGGCAAGAACTCCCCCCAATGACTCTGAGTTTTAACTACCAAACTCAGTAACATAGTGAAGTACAGTCCACACTCAAAAGTCAATTGTATCTGTACACAATGAACTCACCAAGGGAGAAATTAGAGAAACCACACCTTCCACAATAACATACCAAAAAATGAAATACTTAGAAATCAATATCACAAAGAAAGTAAAAGATTTGCACAGTAAAAACTACAGTAATCTGAGAAAAGAGATTGAAATGGATTTCAGAAAATGGAAAGATATTCCTTGCTGTTGGATAGGAAGGAACCAACATGGTGAAAATGGCCATACTCTCAAAATTGTTAAACATATTCAGTGCAATTCTAATTAAAATACCATTGGCATACCTCACAGAGTTAGAGAAAAACATTCCAAAAATTCATCTGGAACCAGGTAAGACCTAAAATAGCAAAAGAAATCCTAAGCAATGAAAGAAAGGAAGTATTCATCACAATACCTGACTTGAAATTATACTACAAAACTACTGTGATAAAATCAGCACGGTACTGACATAAAAAAAGACCTGAGGATCAATGGAACAGATCAGAGGATGCAGATACAACTGAAAACACAATAAGTATCACTCAGCTATAAAAAGATAAACTCAAGGCTTTTATGGGTAAATGGATATAACTAGAGACCGTACTCATAAGTGAAATAAATCAGACTCACATGTGCAAACATCGTATTGTCTCACTAGTGCAAGAACCTGAAAGAGTAAATAAAACCTGAAAGGTATAATAGATACTGTGAAATGGAAAATATCTGTTCAAGGGGAAGGAAAAACTGGGATGAAGAAAAGGATAACAGAAAGAAAGAAGGAACGGAAAAATATATACTTATGTATATATACAGGATAGCTTGGATAATTGTAATGCTTATTTCTGCTGATTACAATATTGCTGATTATAAAAATGAGCAGTTAATGTTTAAATTTTTTCTCTTCTTCATTTCTTATAACTCTTTTCCAATGTTGCATGCATACATCTTGTGACCTAAACAACTCATTTGAAAACAACGTTATGCAATACAAAAAATATTGTCAAATTTGTATTATTTTATTTAGTGAAATTCTGTGTCATTTCTAATTTTTATTACCATTATTTTGCATTATATTTTAAAAATAAAAAATTAAATATATGTAAAAAATAGGAATAATTAATGCTTAAATCTTTTTACTTCTCCCTTTTAATTTCTTATCACATAGGGTCAGGGAGATGGCTCAGTGGAATAAGCGCTTCCCTGACAAGCACAAGGACCTGAGATCAATCCCTGGTTCCACAAAAAAAAAAAAAAACTGTAATTTCTTATAACATTTTTACCAATTTTTCATGCTTATGTCTGGTAATCTAAATAATATGAAGACATTATGCAATATATTGCAAACATTTTGTATTCCTATTATTTAGTTTAATGGAATTCTGTATCATTTCTAATATTTTTTATTTTACTACTTTTTAGTCTCTTTAAAAAATAAATACATAGGGGCTGGTGAGATGGCTCAGTGGTCTAAAGCACCTACTTAGAACAAGCTTAGCAAAGCACAGGGACCGCAGGTTCAATCCCCCAGCACCACATGCCAGCCAGCCCCGCCCCCTGGTGGGCTGAGCTGGCCACACACACACACACACACACAAATAAAAAATAAATACATACATACATAAACAAACATTTAGTACTATCTCAATTCTGCATGCAGATCCCTCTCTCTGCACATCACAGAGGTAAACGCAGGCCTCCTGCCCGCCCGGCTCCCGGCGCCCACCTACCTCCCACCGTTATCACACTCACTCATTCTCAAGCAACTTTTTCTTCATGAATGAATAAACCCGGGTTCAGCCTTAGGTTGAGGCCTTTGCCCTGGATAACCACCACCGCTGCCAGTGATTTCCAGTTTCATTGCGCTGTGCTCAGACAACATGTATAAGATAATTGGAATTCCTTTGCATTTACTGAAATATGCCCTTTGTGCTAATCTATGGTCTATTTTGAAGAACATCCCATATGCAGCTAAGAAGAATGTGTTTTCTGGTTTTGTGAGGTGAAATATTCTATAGACATCTACTAAATTCATTTGTTCATAGGTTTGTTTTAGATCTGATACTTCTGTGTTGATTTTTGCCTACTTGATTTATTTGTGACAGTGGGGTTTTAAGATCCCCATTATGTTAGTGCTCATTTGATTTTTAATTTATGTGCTTAGTACAGGGTCTCACTAAACAGCTCAGACTTGTGGTCCTCCTGTTTTCAGCCTCCTCAGCACTGGGATTACAGGTATGTGCCACCAGGCCTAGACTCTGTCCCCAGCTCAGTGCATCCAAGGGCAGGGCCAGCAGGACATGTGGTACCAGGGATCAAACCCTGGTCTCTGTGCTTGCCTAAGCACATGCTTAATCTGCTGCGCTATCTCACTGGCCCTTCATTTGATTTTTTAACGTATCCATTAATATTTGGTTTTTGTAGTTGAATGGACCAGTATTTGGTGCATACATATTTATGATTTTTATCACTTCTTGGAGTCTTCCTTTAAACACTGTGTAGTGACCTGTATCTCTTTTTATCTGTCTTCACCTGAAATTCACATCATCTGCAAACAGAATAGCTACCCTTGATTTTTTCTGGGTCCTATTACATGGGGTAATATTGTTTTCTGTCCTCTGATTTTTAATCTATGAGCTTCTTTTGAGTTAAATGTGTGTTTGAATGCAGCGTACTGTTGGATCTCACATCTTGATCCATTCTACCACTCTGTCTCCTTTGCTTAGTAAATTGAGACCATTTATGGATGTGATTATTCCTGGTATATTTTGGCTTATCCTTCTCCTATTATTTTCATTTGTTGGTTGCTTCTCTTTTCGCTGTGTTTGATTACTTGCACTGCCTGGTGGCTTCTTTCTACTGATGGCCTCAGAATGCAGGGCAAGCACGTGAGAACAGCATGTGCTGTGGGGTGTGGAGAAAAGGGACTCACCTCTGCTGAGGGGGATGTAAATACTACGATCACTCTGAAGCGTCCTCAAAACTAAAGTAGAAATTCCATTTGGCCAGGCTATTCCACCCCTAGATATTGTCCTGAAAGAGCTTTGAGATATCATGCTGTGGTGATAATTGTATATCCACGCGTCCTTACGGCACAATTCACAATATATATGCTCTGGAACAGACTAGTGGCCCAACTCCAGTGCATTGAATTAAGTATAAACATATGTATAAATTTTATTGCACCATAAAAAAGAAAGCATTTAGTTAATTTGCAGAAAAAGTGATGATCTTGAGACCCCAGTGTTAAGTGAAATAAGTCAGGCACAGAAGGCTAAATATCAAATGGCTTGACATGTGTACAGAAGCCAAATTGAAATTCATTAAAGAGGAAAATAATAAGACTGTAGAAAACAAAAATGAAACTTTCTAAAGGTAGAGAAAGGAATTAGGGGGGTAGTGAAGGAGAGATTGGGGAGGGGAAAATGTTATCAAAATGATCAGAACTATATATATAAATTCCCCAAAGCAAACGTAAATATTATGAATCATAAACATATAGCAACAAAGCTAAATTTTAAAAATATTAAACAAATGCATATATAACTGTAACCATCCGGTGGGTGTTAGGCCTAGTAAATCAAGTGACCAGCAAATCCCACCGAGTACACCAAGGCTGAAGCACGACTACGTGGTGCTACGTCACCTGTGTGCCTGCAGCTGAGTTGGGGTTTTCACTCACTCCCATTTAGACTTGAATCTAGTTTTCCATCTGCAGGACAGTTTGTCTGCACAAGGCAGAGAAGGCAGAAATTCAGGGGGGGGGGTCTGCTTTGCATCATCCATAGTGAGGTGTGCTCCCCCCTCAGGGGGCCATTCTGACATTAGGGAAAAGAACAACCTTGTGCACTTGGACAGTGCCTCTGCCCTAGCACTCTCAGGACAGCTTTGCAGCTGAACCTAGGCAACACTGCTATGTAAGACAGCAAGGGCGAGACACTCGGGCAGCCGCCACACGGTGCTGCGTGTGCAACTTCTCTCCAGTCTGCTGGGCCCCTGGGAGGGGTGGGGTCAGCAGATGCAGATGTCTCACGAGCATCCCTGGCCACCATAAAATGCGGCAAGGTCACAGAAGATGAGTTCAACAGTGCCAGGTCCTTTTCCTTTCAGAACAGATGGCACCAGGATGATTTGCTTCCCTCCACCTGGCTTTCTGCTCTGACATGCTCCAAGAGACACACAACTAGACAAGAACCACAGATGCACATGAGAGATGAAACACAAGGACTGTGGTGGCTGACGAGGTAAATACGTTCTGAGGCAATTTATGCATTCCATGACATTAAGGAACTTCTAAACCTTTATCTTCGGACTCAACTAAAACCCTTATTAAAATACCCAGTGCCGCTTCAGTAGGTTTTGCTTGTTCTTCCCAAGTCTGTATTTTGACCAGAGCTGACTGCACTTCTGCCTAGCAGGTACCTTCAGGAAACATTTTTATGAAGGTTGAATGCAAGCTGTAGCGACAGACTTTGTAGGGTTACTTAGCGCTAGTCTACCTCTGGAAAACTATCCAATCCCTTTGAACTTCAGTGTTTCTACTGGCAAAATGAGTGTGGATTTTTAATCCATTGAATCTAGTTTTATCTCAAATGTTGATAAAATGTATGCATTTAAGTAAAATGATACCATTTGATATTATGTTATTATCTTAACCTCCTTGTTCCTAAGATGATGTCCTGTGAGCCAGAACTGTGGACAGTTAACAATGCTTTACGTGATGTCATCGGGCTTCAAGCTAGTAGACCTCATTTCTTTAACTAAGATGTTTAAAATCACGTCCCACCTCTGGGTCTGGTGCTCGGAATTCTGACTCCAGACACTCTTACGTTATGTCAGACCTTTTCCCTCAGCTGGGAGTTTAACGTCTCCACCACAGGAACACAAGATGGACATTAGGATGGCGTGCTGGCACGTGACTCAGAGGAGTGTGTGGACGTTGTCGGAAAATCCACCAGCCCTGGACATCAAGGTGGTGCCGGAAAGCCCTCTGGAGAAGAATGGCTCACGCAGGAACGCACTGGTCTTCTCGACAGCCTACATTCATGCGAGTTGCCCTGAGTACAGACTGTTTTCATGGAACACCAGCACCAGCGAAGCACATCCGTTCTGTAGGGTGGCAGATTAGGCCATGTGCGCAACTGCTGGAAGTGCCGTGGCTCTCACACCTGAAGAACAGCAGCTCTGAGAGCCTGGGATGCTTTGTGCAGCTGTTGCCTTGACTATGCAGCCAGCTGCCACCGGACTCCGTGGACCTCATCAGTACCACAGCGCGTGGACAACTGTAAGGATCAGGGTGCCCGGCACCGTCAGAAAACAGCTGGCATGCGGGAACTGAACTCCAATACCTGCGGGGTGCCCGGCGTGCTTCTTACATTCTTACTGAAGTCGTTCATCTTCTCGATGTGGCCCTCATTCTCCTCTCTGGCCGTCACGCTGATGGCACTGGCGCCTGACCCACCTGCTGGTGTGCATGCTGCTGCCGATGCTGCATCGTGTTTCCTCCTGCTTGGATCCAGAGCTGCGAGCTCCAGCCCAACAGGGCTGCCAGGACTTCCCAGCGCTGCTCTGCTTCATCCCACAGTGTTCTGACAACAGGACCACCCTTCCCCTGGCAACGGAGCACCCTAACAGCAGGAGCACCCTTCACCTGACAACAGGAGCACCCTTCCCCTGACAACAGGAGCACCCTTCCC